AAATATGTTCAGGGACCATTTTCATATCCAGAATTAAGGATTATTTTAATGTTACATCACACTGACTTTTCTCTTTTACTTTCCTTTTTAGTTTTATTTTAGGATTCCCTAATTTTAATGTTCATATAGAGATTTCTTTAACTGAAATACCAAATAGTTTCTTTGGTGTTTAAAACTATAATAGTACGCAGGATCCTAATGAGATAATTAATAATGTGAAATAGTAAGTAAAGGGCTAAAGGTGTAGGGAAAGTGGGAAGGGTGGGGAAAAGGTTATAAGGGAGAGGAAAAAAATATGAGAAACTGAAAAAATGGAAATAAAGTGTTTGTAAATGGGAAGGGGAGGAGGGGGTGAAGGGAGGGCAGGGACAAGGGGAAAAAATGAGAATCAAGACCTATTATGTAAAGGTACAAGATCCCAATGATGAAGGCAACTGCATTGTATACCTAGATTGTACCAATAAACTCAATAAAAATAAAAAAAAGAAAATTTAAAATTATGTATGTGGCTCAGGTTTTATTTGTATTGGGCAGCACTAATAAAGATCCAGAAATGGAATTTCTGAGTTAGGAAATATTTGATTGTTTTACATTACAATATAATGCTAAAACAAACAAACAAACAAACAAAATACAATATAATGCTAAACTATTTTCCAGAGTTACTTACCAATTTACAGTACCTAACAGTATGTTACCTATAAATCTATATCTGCTCTAATGATTGATATTGTCATATTTTTAAAATTTTGCCAAGTGAACTAGTATGTCACTGTGTCTTGATTTGCATTTTCTTGGTCACTAGTACAACTGAATATATCTCTGAATATATCTCCAGTGGCCATATATCTTCTCTCCTATAGAATGTTTTGGCCATTTTTCTATGATATTTTTCTGTTTGTGCATTTCATGTTAATTGTTTGGTAATTACTGTAGATATAAAACTCACTCTTGTCTTTCAAAATGAATTCAAGTAGAATTTAAGCCTTTGTGAATATCACGCCAACATCATATTAACTCATATACAGAATAATAGAGACTTAGCTGGGGATTTAGCTCAGTGGCTCTACTGCTTTCCTCACAAATACAAGGTCCTGAGTTTGATCCCTGGTATGAAAGAAAGAAAGAAAGATACCTGAACAAGGATTCATATTAGAGAATGACAGTGTTATGGGTCAAGGCAGGGAGAATTTAGCAAGAATAAATGAATGAAACAAAGAAGGATGAAAAAAAAGTCCTACATGATTTTTGTTTAAAATTGTCAATCATGTATGCCATCTCATTTAGGTGAACAAGTTTGACAAATATAAACTTGTGAAATAGGAATAAGAACCTGTGAAGTAGGAAATAGGAGTTGTTTTTTCTTGCAGGACATAGAAGTCCAGGGTCCATCTCTGGAACAGACTTGCACCGAGGCTGCCTAAAGCCAATCATGGTACTTCAGCTCATGGTACTGATCGAAGATAGATAGTTATAGAATGGAAGTTTTATGGAAAAAAAGAGAGCTATGCTGGAATCAAAGCTGCTTTTAATTATCAGTTTTGCCACTTCCTCATGTGATTTTCAGATAGTCACATTTCTGAGCTCTAGTTACCTTAGAAAACAAAAAGCTGAAATATACTTATCATGTTAAATGTTGAAAGATTGAATAAAATAATGTTTGTAAAGATAATTAGCACAATGCACTCAGGTGCTTTCTGAATTGAAAAACAAACACTATCCCTGCTATTTACAGTTTACAAGAGCTTTTTCTTTTTGATCCTCAAAACAACTCTCCATTTCCATTTCATAGAACCAAAGCAAGGAGAAATTAAGTGACTACTCATTATTCTCTTGCTAGTGAAGAAACAGAATCAAGTCTTCTGAGCCTAAGACTTGACTCAAAGCCAGGAGTACTTTTCATTCCAATATCATGCTTAATTCCTCCAGCGTTGGTTTCCAAGTCTGTCAGGAGTGTTGCTTCTTTCCTAAAGAAAGATACACTTTTCTTCCTAACAAGCTTTCTTTATTCTAACCTTGCAAAAAATAATTTCAGATTTATAAAAATTTAAGAATACTACAAAAATTTCATAGTCCTCCATTCAGAATCCTCAAAATGTTAATATTTTACCACATTTGCTTCATTGTTCTTCTTCCTTCTTTTCTATGCTATATAAAGCAGGAACCAGAAGAAGGTAAGCAAAGAAGTCTCTAGATTGAAATATTTCAAAATTCATGGTCCTTTTAGAGCTTTAAGCAGAAATGACTGGTAAAAGTGTGTGCACTAGTCGCTGATACCTGTTACATATTTCTTGTGTGGAAGTTAATCTAAACTGTGTGGAGTTAGCTCTTAACTAGGGATGACTGTGTCCCTCAGGGAACATTTGACAATGTCTAGAGAGATTTTTGATTGTCATGACTGGAGCAAGGTTACCACTACCATCTACTTGGTAGAGGTAAAGAACACTGGTGAACATCTTCACTGCCCAGAACAGCCCCTTCCACAACATAGCCTTAAGACTTTATGTTTTATGCCTTTAGAGATCCTTCATTATAAGATAGCTCTGCCCTACCCAATATTTTAGCCACCATCATTTGTGAATACAAATTTCTGCTTCTAGTCAAGCTGGAATAATGGGAGCCATATTTACCTTTCCGCATAAGACAGTCTGAAAAAATAGACAAAATATTTTTTTTAAATGGCCCTGAAAACAGTAGTCATAGGAAGTAAAGGAGACAGTGGTCCTTCAGAGGTAAAGATTTCTTAGATATGGCAGGAGAAGCATTAGCCGTAAAGAAAAATTGAGAAATGGGATTTCCTCAAACCTAACTTTTGTAATTTCAAAAGCAATAAAAGGACAAGTCATATACTGGTACAAAATATTTTCAAAATATATATAATAAAGAACTTATGTTCACAATATATACAAGCTTTCTCTGCAACAAATACAATAAAAATGAACCCAATAAAAGTAAGGGCAAGAAATTTGAATAACACATTACCTAGGAAGGTAAAGAGATATAAAATAAGCATACAAAAACGGTGCTGAACATCTTCAGTTACCAGGGAAACGAAAATGAATCTTATACCAAATACAATGGCTAAAATGAAACAACTTGACTTAAGCTTGTGAAGATGTGGAATGAATGGAATACTTACATACTATAGTTGGAATGCTATGGGAAAATGAGTTTGGAGAACAGTTTGTTTGAAATTTAAACACCTACCACGTAGCCCAGCCGATTCGAATCCTAAATATTTATGGCAGAGAAATGAAAGCATATTTCCACATAGAGATCTGTGCATGAGCGATCAAAGCAGTTTTGTTTGTAATATCTAAAAACATGTAAGCAATCCAAATGTCTACCATAATGTGAGATAGATTAGAAATTGTTGAATATCCAGATAATGAAATACTGTTCAGTTATGAAAGCAATGAAGTAAGTAATAATATGCCTGAGACATTAAATGATATGTAAGTGTATATTTCTGTGTATAGAATAATTCATTTATACTAAATTCTAGAAAATACAAACTAAATTATAGTGACAGAGAGCAAGCATATCAGTGGTTGCCTGGGGACATGGAGGGAGGAAAAGATGGGAGAGAGAAATTACAAAGCGTTATGAGAAGACTGGGGGAAGGGTATGTTCATTAACTCTGACAGTGGTTGCAAGGGTGTACGCAAATGTCATGACTTACCAAATTTTATATTTTAAGCCATTGTTATTTGTTATATGCAAAATACATACACTGTTAATTTTTCAATTGATTAAAATTAAGAACATTTAAAAGCTCAGTTCCCCAGTTACACTAGTCACATTTCAAGTTCTTAATAGCCACCTATAGCTAGTGGCTACCATTTTGGCTAGGACCAGTACAGGATAATTCCATGATTGTCCCTAGTACTGTGGGCAGCACTTCTCTATCTCATACATAAAGAAATAGCCATTTCTTCCCTTACTCCTACATCTACCTAATCTAAACTTTTAATGGGAGTGAGCATGGTGGTGTGACACTGATATATAAATTACCCAACAATTTTAAAAGATGGATTTTATTAAGTTAATTTAAAAGTAATTTTGCTCTGAAGCAAAATATAAGTTCTATTAATAAACATATAATACACTATATCCCGCTTAGACATCATGACTTCTTTGGGTACTGTTTAATTAGTTTCTTCTAATACTAATGTTTGACAGTGATTTTAGGTGCTAAATGACAAAGGAATAAAATAAATATCACTCTCTTAGAATTTCTTTTCTTCTTGGTAATCAAAGTGGTTATAACTTCGATATAATTCCTCAACGATAATATACATTTCTACATACTTACAGATATCTTCTGAGTTAGCTTTTCGTTGTTTCAGAATATAATGCTAAAATATGTGAGTGAATTTTCCTTTTTAAAAGAATCAAGCATATTACCCTTACACACAAATATAACCAGAAATTTCAAATGAAGGAGCAGACATTAAAATAGAGCATTGTGGTATGCACTGAAAATTTCATCTTCAAGACACAGTTCAAAAAAATCAGTGCAGAGAACTTGTGAAAACTGCACATTTTTACTAAAGTTTTCCTCTTCTCAAGTTTGAGAGTTGCAGGTGATTTTAACTAACTGAAAAAAAAAAAAAAGGCTAATACCAGAAAATAAATTCAAATGCTATTTTCTGCCCCTACCTTAGTAACCTATGGACATGGGAGGCAAAAATGTGTGTCAGCTTAGAGTTTTTGTTTCAGGAGAGAGAATGCAGGACTGAAAGCCTCAATCGTCCTTGTTTCACAGCCAGAGACATACTACCCTTTCCACGCACACTTTGATGTCTGAGTTATCTGCTTCAGAAATGGAACCCAGAAAAAGGCACCTGGAGTTGGGAGAGGAGGAAGGAGGCTGGTGGCCAGGGTAGATGAACCCAGACAATCCCCAAACTGTGTGCTGTGGTAGATAAGCAAGAAGTACAAAAATAGAAACCAAGTCCCTCTGTTGTGTGCAGAACTCAGAAGCCAGCTTCACTTACTTTTTTACACCGACAGAGCCATTTTCCTTGTTTTCCATGTCAACAGATAGCATGGGAAGGCTGCAGGGTTCCTTTACTTCAGCAACTAATCAATAAGGGAGAAAAGCTTGTGTTTAATTCTTAGAAAGTGAGAGAAGAATATATATTCTGAATCGGAAACATAAAGGTCCCTTTCACAGCCTCACATCAGTTCACGGTATGTTTGTTTAAATCTCCAGTTCCCTCAGCGATTGGAAAGATGTGATTAAACCTAAAGAACTGGAGAAGATTGCGGTGCTTGCATCTGTCCTGGCACTCCCCGCTCCGACAGTGAGCATTTGCAAATGAAACTAAATCCTCCTTGTTCAAAACAAGTGCTGTTCGACCTGACACAGCTTCCTCCGGTGCCAGGCTCTCACTTAAGACACTGCAACTCATAAATGAGTCAAAGTAGAAGACAAACAATTCCCCCTTTCCTGCTTCCTCCCATCTTGGGCTGTGATTTTTTTTTCTTTTATTTGCTTGTTTTCCCTCTCTTTTAGTATACTCCTCTGCTCCTAGATTTTTTTGATTGCAATGCAGAAGGGCACTTAAAGCTTTTGTCAGCAAGTACTCCCCTACCTCACATATACTCAGTCAAAGCTTCAAAAAACCAGCCTAGCAGGTGACCAGGCTGTAGTGAAGCAAAAAGCTTACAAAAAATGCTAGATAACCCTTAGCATTGAAAGGTGGTTCTGTGTGTGTGTGTGTGTGTGTGTGTGTGTGTGTGTGTGTGTGCGCGTGTGTAGGCAGCTTATCAGATTTATGTAAAAACATCAAAACATTTAAGGATATAGACATATAAGCATTTATCACTCTTTATGTTTGAAGGATGAGGATTGTGAAAAATAAAAACCCTCTACAATTAATATGCAATTAGCAAGATGAAAAAGCTATGAATAAAACTGCTTTAAGAAAGTAGAAGGAGGAAGAAAAAAAAAAAACTAGTCCCGAAACGTATTTGCTCTTATTCAGCTGAAGTCATAAATTAAATACATTTCCTCTCAAATCACTTTATACTTCGGCACTCCTTCTCCTGGGATTACTCTGACATGGCAAGTGCATCATTTAGTATCATTCACAAGATTTTATCACTGTTAGAGAAGTAGATGATTAACAAATAACACTGTAAGTGTGGGATAATCTTCACTCCTGAAGCACACATATCCACACACACACACAAACACACACAAACTTCCAGTTGCTAAGCCACTTAGATTATTGCTAGAGAAATCCAACATTTAATATACATATAGATTATTAGCATACATCCACACACCGCTACAGAGTAGACAGGAAGATAGTGCTGCTGCTCCAGCTAAAAGAATGATTTCACTTCAGTTGGAAACTGTTACACATTCACCATTTTCTAAAGCATCTCAGAAACAAAACAAAACAAAACACTCACAGTGATACTCTGCAACACCACACTACATTGTCTTATTATTATTACTAGTATTCTCTGTTTTTGGTGGAAAAGTAAAAAGAAAACCTACCTATAAGCAACTAAAACATATCAATTTTTATAGGCTTATCAAGAACAGCCAAAGAAACCCCAATGTTTTCTTTCACAAAGTAGGCTGGCAAAGGAATTCAATAAGGAGGTACAATTTGACACAGTGAAATAAAACCAGGCTGGCTCTCAGCCAACATGACGTTAGGAATCACACACAAGCTGCACCAACTGCCTTCTGGTTCATGGCTGACTTTTTAAAGCTACAGTGTGCCTGTTCACTTTGGTTAACTACCTTCAGCACAATTAGTGGAAGTGAATGAATCACGAGTCTAAAAATTGAAAAATTCTCCCTGCACCTGTATTGGATGAAAAAAAAAATCCAAGCTGTCTTAATAGGCTATTTTCTCCCTCCCCTTCATGTTGTTGCATATGCCTCTACTATTGTTCTGAGCATAACTGTCGTGTTTTAAACTATTTCTTTTTGTCTCCTGCAGAAAAGAGAGAGAAGCCAAAACACCCAAAAGCTGCAGTGCTGTTGTTACTCGTTTTTTCTTTTTTTCCTAATAAAGAGTTGTGGACAAAGTTCCCAGAGCTGGCTTTTAAGTAATCTCTTTGTGAGAATAAGGAAAGCCCTGCCCAGCAGCAAATCCCTTTACTTCATTAGGCAGGAAGCAGCATATTTCAGAGAGGATGTAAAATAGATGACCAGATCTCCTTAAAACACCCATGATCTTTTAGTTTGGCATTTATCTTACCCAAAGAAGCCAACAAAAATTCAAATTGAACCAAAATCTTACTCTATAGAAGGAAAACAAATAGTTCTGCAAGGTTTGATTTTAGTTGTTTACCCTAGTTGCATAAAAAAGCATAAGTCAACAAATGCAATCAACATAATTTTATGAGCAACTGATAGTATGTGAATCATATATAAATAGGAAGAAACTGTATCAACTCTCAAATTTATAGTCTCTTACCACTGTCCTAAATCCCAAATCAGGGAATTGGGAGATGGAATAGAAAGACTGGGTGAGGCCTTTTGATTAAATTACCCTGACCAATCGCACAGTTCCCTGGCTTGGCTGAAGAGGAACATTATACTCTATAAATGTTCTGCACATACACAGAAAACATACATGGTTGGCTCTTCACTGAAATAAACACTAGTCAACATTTGAACATATTTAGCTCAAAGTATCCACGAAATCACTCAAGACAGAAAACAGATTACCTGTTCCCCAAAATGATCCTGGAAAGTTACCTGCTCTATGTAGACTTCAGGTAGAATTGAGAAGAAAGTGGCCTAAGGCCCTTTTCTTTAGAAGTCTTTAAGGGTACTTGCAGATCAGCAACTATGATCTAAATTTTGGAATCTGAATTCTAAACTCAATTTTTTTCCATTACTTATTCCAGGAATGTTATTAGACATCTTCAATATCCTGAAAGACCACTGCTGAGAAATGAAGGGTTCTCTATACCTGTCTTTGCCATTGTCCCTTTGCAAAAGTAAACAATTTTAATTTAGGGATCAGTTCTACAAGGTCAATATTCTTGAGTTTTCCTCCCTCCTCTCTCCTGTCCTCTCCCCTCCCTTCTTCTCTCTCCCTCCCTCCTCTCTATCCCCCCCCCCTCTGGTGAGGCAAGTGGATGTGTCACCTCCACTGATCAAAATGATGGACTCTGAAAAGACAAAGAGCTCTTTCGTTAACAGAGACCATGTTTTTGGACTTGAAACTTCTGAACTACTCTGCAACTAAATCCAAATGGAAGGGAACTGGATTATGAATCCTGTGGGCAGGGCAACGGGGAGGAAGTTATCTTGACAACACGAGGTAGGTTTACCACCTCTGAAGGAAAAGAGACAAAGAAAATGTAGTTATCCCAGGTGCATAAAAAGCACAATTCAACAAATGCAACCAACACAATTCAAGAGCACCTGATACTATGTGAGTCACACAGAAACAGGAAGATACTGTATCAACCCTCACATTTATAGTATCTTACCACTATCCTAAATGCCAAAGAAAATGTAGTATCTATATTCTTTAGAGGCACTCACAGGGGAAGGATTGTATGAAGTTTTTCCAAGTCCTTCTTCCTATGTTTAGAAAAGACATCCCTTCCTGTGTTGCGGCTGTGATCGAAAGTTTGCCTGTTATACAAGTGTAAGGTTTGAGAAAGTGTTGCTGGAAATCAGCTCCTCTGTATAGTAAGCTACAAAGGTATTCTAAATAATGACAACGGGAAGTTTCACTTACCAGCCAGTGTTTAAGTTTGGTAATAAACTGACTTTTTGAATATAAACACATACACTAGACTCAGCCATTCCCTCCTCACACCCTGCAACAAACTGTCACTAAGTTTTCAGTGATGAGAATGTGTAGGTGCTGTAGTGTATGTCTATGTTGTATGCATGTAGTGTGGTTTGTATGTGCAGTATGTGTGGTTATAGAACATATAGTGTGCCATGTGTGTTTGTGTGTGAGAGACAGAGGCAGCGAGACAGAGACACACAGAGAGACAGAAGCAAAGAAGACTTTTGGATACAACACAGTGTAGGATTTGCTCAGGTAACCCTGGAGATGATCTGGTGTCAGGATTATGGAGCAGAACTTCCAGGCCCGCTTGGACGTGCACCGGATGGGGGAGGAAAAGGGGGAGACTGGTACCTTGTTTGTTTGGCTTCTTTACTGATCAACACTTATTCTCAGGCGAAAAACAGCGCAGACTCTCCAGCAAAGCCAGAGCTATTCCAGAGAACCCTCCCGCCCCGTCCCGGATCAACCCGGTGTGTCCAGCCCGTTCCCCCAAAGCAGGGGCCACAGGGCCCCGAAGGGCGTCTCCAGGGACAGGGAGGAGTGGCCCGGAGAGGGGCCAGTGGGCTGTGGGTGCAGGTCGGGGGACCTGGCAGCCTCTTGGTCCAGCAGCGCCGGCCAAGAGCCAGCGAACTCATCCAGCGTGGCACCACCCACCACAGATAGGGCAAAGTTTGCGGCTCCCACTCGGTCTCAGGTTCTGCGGCTCCCTGTGGGGGCGCCCTGTTTGGCAGGGGAATGTGGGGTGTGGCGCTCGGAGCGCCTGCCCGGGTCCTGTCCTAGCCGGGACACGCTGGAGCCCAGTTCCACTCGAGTGACGTCCACGCCCGTGGGTACAACAGGCTGCAGCAGCACCGGGCGCAACCACACGAGGCAGCGCAGGGCGGCCTGTTTTATTTTCAGCCGGGTCGTCCCGGGTTTCCCGCATCCTGCAGAGCGGATAGAGCGCCGCTCCCCACCCGCGAGGCTTGCCCCGCGCAGCAGCCCCCATCCCATCCCAGGGCTCCGCCAGTGAGAGGTGCATGCCGGGAGTTGTAGTCCGCGGGGCGGGGCCGGCCCCGAGCAGGCTGCAAGGGCCGAAGGGAGGGAAGTAGGACATTTGCAAGAATTTAAACTTCCGTGCCTGAGGGGAGGGAACACGCCTGGAGAGACGTTTTTAAAGTCCATGTTTTCAGGTTTGTACCATTTTTCCCCGTCTTGCTCACTCCTGATAACCCTTGCTGAAGTTTTAAACTGGGTTTTGGGGCCAAGTTCGTATTTTGTAGGGTTCCTCCACTCCCTGCACCGTGAACACACACCTGTGGCATCCTCTGCTTGGAACCCTATTCTGTGGCCATAAAATACCTCAGTTGAAGCGCTAGAATGTTTTACAGCACTTATTATAAAGCATTAAAAAAAACCCCTTATGATTTGCTATATTAGGCCCATAAAGCAACATTGGGATTTAGGCAGAGAAATGCTAAAGATGCAGAGAGGTTTGTGTGTCTCCCCCTGTAAAGGCGGAGTCACCCTGAACTATTCATTCCCTTCTCTAGTTCTTCTCTCAGCAGCTGAGGAGAGAGGAGCTAAGGACTGGGGACAGAGGTGATGGACACAGTGAAAGAAGAGGTCCATGCAGGACTTCTTGAAAGAGCCGATGAGTAAATCCTTGGTAAATAAGAAAATAAAACTAAAATAAGTGCTTATGGATTGGGAAATTACCGGGGGAAGGAAGAGGTAGTGGGAATATAACAGACTCAACAGAAGAGGGTGAGCAGGCTGGAGGCAAAATGGAGAAGCTGTGTCAGCTGGGCGTGATAGCACGTGCCTGTAATCCCAGCTACTGCGGTGACTGAGGTGACTGAGAGGAGGATCCTAAATTCAAGGCCGGCCTGGGCAATTTAGTGAGACCCTGTCTCAAAAATAACTTTTAAAAGGGGTGGGATTGTACCTCAGCCCTTGCCTGGTATGTGCAAGACCCTTGTGTGCAATCCTCGTATCTGAAATTAATCAAACAAAGTTTCATCCTAAAGAAAGCAAAACAAACAGGGATTTTAGAAGCCAGACAGACCTGAAATTTGGGTGTTGTCACTTCTGAGTAGGTTCTGTGGCTTCAGTAAATTATTTAACCTCTCCAAACCTCTTTTGCCTCATCTTTAAAATTTAAGCAGTAATAGTTCTTATTTCGTGATGTGGTTGTGCAGATTAAAAGAGACAGGAAGCACTTAGATTAGTACCTGGCATATCATAATCACTCAGTTAATATTCACTGTTATCATCTACAGAAACACCTTTTGTGAAAGTATCAAAAGATAAATTGGTGTGGAAGTACCAGTTGGGAAACTCTGACGCTGCTCTAAACTACAGGTAATGATATCTTGAATTATCTTAATCGACAGGATGGAGCTATGAGCACTTTGGGGGGAAAATAGGACAGTGCAACCAAATGGATGTGGGCAATGAGGAATAGGGAGTAAAGATGGTGTCAGTTCTTGAATGAGGAAATGGGTGCTGCTGCCACTCACATAAATAGGTCCAGCTGATGCAGAAAAGGACTAGTTTGACTCTGGACATGTAACTTGAGTCTTTCTGAGTATGAACAACCAAATGGCAGATGAAATGTGGATTTGGATATTATGTGTAGAAATGGAATTTGAGTGCCACTTATTTAGTAGAGGTAGTTGAAGAGCATGCAGAGAAAAAAAAGAAGGGCCTTGGTGGGTGGGCAGATGATGCCCAGCAGGACTAGTGAAGGTGGCCAGAGAAGCCTTCAGGGAAGCAGAGAGCCAAAGAAAAAGGGAGGGCTGAGAAGGAGCCTGCCAGGAGGACACATACTGCAGAGATGATAGCCAGTGACCACAGAAAAGAGGCACTGGGGGTGTAGATCAGAGGCTGTTGGTGTAGCACTGCCTTTCTGGGTTGTTTTGGAAATCTGCCAGAGTGCTTTTGCTTTTTCTAGTGACTGAGAAGGAGCACTTTTGGAATACAATTGGTGGGGCCAGAGTAGCTAGACATCTTGCATTGCCTGAGAAAATCCTGCCCAACAAAGGACCAGCCCACATTCTGAGTGTCTCAACAGCCCTATTGCTCACTGATGTAGGTGATAACCCTATTTATAATTATCTGAACCTAGAATCTATTTTACATATAAATATAGCGTTTTTTTCACACAGCTTAAGACTTAATGAATTTTCCTGGAATGTAGTAAATTGTATGACATTATCATTCATGGAATTTGAATTAGTTCACTTTGTGGCTGTCTTTCTCTTGGTGGATCTACAGACAGACACAAATATCTGACTACTCACAAGCACTTATTTCTCCTATCTAATGGGAATTTGACACTCATTGACCAACCTTTCCCCATTCCTCTCTATCTTCTTACCAGCTCTGATAGCTACTGGCCTTGACGATTTTGGAGAGACCAGCAAAGTTGCCATTGTGGCTGGATTGGAGAGACTAGGAGGTGACAGGAGGGGGACGGAAGATTACCGTTGGATTGGGGACCACTTATGTATAGTGTTTAAGGACTCTGATTTTTCTGAACAAAATGGGTCACTGCTAGAGAGTTGTGAGGAGTCAAGTGACATGATTGGGCACATTGTTAGATTATTTTGGCTATTCTATCAAGGACAGAGAATAACCAACATTGGTGGAAGCTAAGTAAGAAACTATTGCAGTGACCCTGGTAGGAAACAATAGTGTCTTGAAACAGAGTGGATGCAATTAAGAGTGATGTATTTTTTTTTTTCTTTTTTTGGTACTGGGGATTGAACTCGGGTCCTTGCGCTTGCAAGGCAGGCCACCGAACCGCTGAGCTAAATCCCCAGCCACTGAGTGGTGGATTTTGACAGAAATTATTTTGTTACTTTAGCTGTAGTTTTTGACTTAGTACCTCCTCTGTTATCGTTTGAAGGAGATTCAACCAGGGAAAGATGATAAAGGAAAAAGGAAATGAACAAGCTCTACTTCTGGCTCAAATTCTGATATTAAAGAAAGCAAATTATCTAAAAGCTCTATTATTAAAAGAAATGCCAAAAACAGTCTGAATCTTCTAATTATGACTCAGAATTAGAAAAGAGATGAAAACATGAGTAAAATTGGGGCTACCAGAACAACCAAAAATATTTCCAAATAAAAAAGACTCTGAATGTTCTGAAGGTGAAAAATACAGTAAAAAGAAACAGAAAATCAAGGGCAGAAAAATTTATCTAAAAAGAAAAAAGAGTGATGGATTAGGTGTGGAAGAAAAACCAAGAATTTCTGAGCACACAGAGGAAGAGTTTCAGGGGTTGGAGAAGAGTAGAAGACAGAGTAAAGAATGTTTAGGACCTTGTGGGAATGAGACACCGGGGATGACCCAAACTGTTTTTGGTGACTGACATGAATATAGATAAAGGGTTTAATGAAATCAGCCTGAGTCAAGAAATAAAATGATGGGGAAGTTGTGAGCATGAGGATTATGGATGAATGTTTGGGCTCTTTAACTCTGTGAATATAGATGAAGAGGTCTAAGAATCAAGTGGATTATTTTTTCAGTTTTCTTTTTATTAGTGCATATGGGTTAAATGAATTAATGAGTTTCACTTTGACAGATTCATACAATGCACATAACAGACTTTATGCATTTTCACCCCTCATTGCGCTCCTTGCCTCATCTTTAGACCTATTTTCACCTTCTTTTCTTTTCAGTAAGTATCATGTGCTGCCCTCCCTTACACCTCCTCCCCCATATTCCCTTCTTCTTGTCTAATAATAGTTTCTTTTCTATTCTTGCATCATTTTTTTAGATATTATGTGTCTTAAATAATGTTAGATATTAGATATAGGGAGAATATGAAATATGGCATTTTTCTGGCTTATTTCTCAACAAACGTGATTCATGGTCCATATTGGAATGTGGAAGGTCTGGGGAGGGGAGGGCTCAATCCATGAGGATTCATAGTTCATGCCCGAAGGTGGGCAGACTTGTTTGGACTCTAGCATCCTCTTTCTGCCCTTGATCTTTCTGATTGGACTTGGCCCTTTTAGTGGGGTTGGAGATGGGGGCAAAGCGGTAATTACTCTAAGCATAATGGTCTATATACAAGGCTGATTTGGGAGGTGTACAGTATGCAGAATGTTGATTCAGGCATGATTGGGCAAATGGAAGAATTTTGAGAATTTTGGTGAAGACAAGCAGGAAGAAAATGGGCCCTTTGTGTGAAGGGCTTCTCTAAGGTTCAGAACAGGAGACAACTGTGTTTGTGCAGAGAAGTGAAGAAGTCTTTAGGAGCAGAATAGTGAAAACTCAGAAGAGGGGAGAATGGCTGAAATGACATCCCAGAGAAGAAGAAACTGAATTATTTACCCTTGGAAGGAAAATAGTACAGTTCTTCCTATAAGAAAGGGGGGAAAAACAGTGGCAGAATGGAATGATTCAGGAATATTTAGAAAAATTCTAAAGAGATAAGGGAGTAGAATACTTTAAAAATGTTATTTCTTATGAAAATGAAGTGTGTGGTGAAAATAGAAATACCAGTTACTTAAAAAGCCATTCCTAAAATAATATTTTCTAGGTGGCATATATTATCTGAATTTTTATCATGTGCTTGTGTTTTCTCTTTGAAATGTTATGTGGATATCTAAAATATTGGGTTTTTCTCTATATAGGTTCTGAGGTTTATAAGTAAAATTTATTGAGCATCTATTAGGCTATGTTATCCTAATTTATCAATATTTCTCTGCATTTTTCCTCTTCTTGACTTTTTAAAGACTCAGAGAGATTTATCATAGTCTCCTAAGATTTTTCTTAATTTTTTCTCTCCTTTGAAGTTTTGATTTATGTATTTTATTGCTATACTGTTTTGTACATTAAGATTCATACTAGTAATAACTTTGTTGGGAATTGTATCCATTGCCATTATTAAATGACTGTCCCATTTAATGCTTTTTAAATACTTTGTCTATTTCATTGGAAAATATTTTAATTAGGTAAGTTTTATCTTTGTCACGGCTATTTATTTTTTGAATCCTTATTGTTTCTTTGTTTTCTCTTTTGTTTTATGATGTATGCTTTCTCCCTGTTTTGTTTGTATTTTATTTTCCTCTGTATTAATGTCAAAGATCAACAAAGCCTGGTTCTACTAAAGAAGTGAAAGATGTATTTTATTTTTTTTGGTACCAGGGATCAAACTCAGGACCTTGTGCTTGCAAGGCAGGTGGCAGAACCACTGAGCCACATCCCCGGCCCCTTGAAAGATGTATTTTAATCAGGAATACTTATTACAGTAGGGAATTGAGTCCAGCATGGATTGAACCCAGTGTCACCTTGTATAGAGATGATCAGGCTGAAATGGGAGTAGGGAAAGGGACAATTAAGGGCTTGGTAGAATCAGGGAACTGAAGAACTACAGAAGATTCATCAACATAAAGTGATAAGACCAGCTATGTCTGATTCTTTCCTCCTACATAGGCTAAGAGACAGAGGCCCCATTCTTCTTAGTGATTTTATTTCCAAAGAACAATTCAAAATTGCAAACCCTCTTTAGTAAATGCTCTGAGAGAGGGTGGTCAGGTCTTTTGAAAGCCTTGAACAGTATCAAGCAGGCTCTTTAACAGGTGCTAGGATTAAATAAGTGATGTGGGCTTGAGTTGCTAGGAACTATACTACTGTTGAAATCTTTACAGACTAAGGTTGAAGAAGCAGAGGAGCTTGGCTAGGATTTGGTTAAGCAGAACTTTGTTGTCATTAGTTGTTTATTGCTGTGCAACAAATTCTGCACCCCAAAATGTAGCAGTTTAAAAAACACACATTTATTATTTTCTACATTCTGCAGGTCAGGGTTTGGCTGAATCATTGGCTATGGGCTCTCTCACAGGGGATCAAGGTATTGAATAAGGCTATGGTCTCAGCTGGAGGATAGACTTGGGAAGAACCAGTCTTTAAGCTCATACATGTGGTAATTGACAGGCTTTCATTCCCAGAGAGCTGTCGAGCTGAGGATCTGAGTTTTTCACCACAGGGGCTTCTCCATAGGGAAGCTCTCAACATGGTGTCTGGTTTTTATCAAAACAAGTACATGAGAAGAGGCAAAGTGTAAACAAGACAGGAGTCATGGTCTTTTATAACCTAATTTTAGAAGTGAAATCCCATCATTCATGCCTCATCTTCTTTGTCAGAAACAAGTTATTAGGTTCAGCCCACATACAAAGGCATGAATACCAAGAGGTAGGGACCACAGACAGTCATTTTGAAGACCACCTATTACACCAGCAATTTGGAAGTTATAAAGTCTCCTTTTAATGATAATCTTCCATTAATATTTTTCAATTTGAAGCGGAACTTAAAAACAAAAGGGAAAAACAAGTTTCCCCAACCTAAGCAA